TAACATCAGAATTAATTATTAATTAATAAAATTTTGAAATTATTAAACATGACAGAGTCTATTAATTATATTAAATTATAAGTGTATATTAAATTAGTATTATTTACCCATTTTAAGCTTAAATTATCCTTAATAAATAGGATAAAATTTAAAAAGAAGCCAATCATTAATTTAAATTAGTGAAAGGAACCTAATCGGATGAAATTTAAAAAGGAGCCGATTCATCAAATCATCTAGTACAATGTTGAATGCGCCAAATGATTTGACTAGTTTTGAATGCACCAAATCATTTGGCACATTCAGCTTCGTGGAGTTTAGGCAAGCGCCTTTCGCCGATTTGAGACTTGGGTGATTTTAGGTGAGGCTGAGACTAATTAAGTGATATTTAATGTAAATAGTTGATTCTATTAAATTAAAATAAATTTATGAATAATTAATTTTGTTAGATTTATTCATAGATTATTATATTAGTTTGAAAGTAATTTAAAACTTAAGTAATATAGGAGTTGATATATCATCTAAAATTTATCTTGATCTGGCATGAACCTCGAGAAAAATCAAGTCGAAAACTATCATATAAAATTTGTAATTGTATGAATTTCGATTTCATCAAACTTATGGTCAAACGTAACGTCTCAAAAAGACAAACCCAACGACACCAAATTTGACTCAATCCGGGCCCAAATGGGTCCAAATCAAAGACCTTAAGCGCATTTGGAAAGTTCAAATCATAAATTAGATGACCACACGTGACATGCTTATAGTCGAACCGAGCGGCTCAACGAGACAAATCCAACGAGCCCAAGATCACCAAATTTTGATATCATTAAGACATTCAAATGCACAATAAGCAGTCCATAGTCAAGGGGATCAATATCGGCCGTCCATTCAAATCACTCCCAACTTTCCCTTGGTCTCCCTCCAATTTATTGTCATGCCACTTTCAAAAAATTATAGATAGACATCTCATTCCTCTTGAAGGGGAGGGAAGTAAGGAAAATAAGGAAGAGGGAGAAACTAGAGTTCTCTTGCATCAAACTAACATCAGATCACTTTTGCCTAGCTTCCGACCACCGTCAAACCAGAAACCATCGCTGGACTTCTGTTTGGCCACCAGCTGACGCCAGATTTCTATTTGGGAACCGAGTGAAGTCATACTTCTGTCAGGCCACCGACTGACGTTAGACTTATGTCTGGCCACCGACTGACGTCGAACTTATGTCTGGCTACTAACTGACGTCGTACTTCCACCCGGCTTCCAATTATTGTTGGACTTACACCTAGCCAATTATTGTTCGACTTACACCTAGCCACTAACTGATTCTAGACTTCTGCCCAACCACATACTGACATTGGACTTCCACCCAACCGCCGACTATGGTCCTTTTGACATCCGTCTTCAAACAACGGTCTTTCCAACCTTCTTAGCCCGACGTCTACAATATTTCCGACCTTCGTCTCCAGATAATTAATGGTCTTTTTTACCACTATCTCTCACCGACAACGATCCTTCTGACTTCCTTCATCCGTTGACTATAGTCCTTCCAACCTTCGCCATCCGCTAACTACGGTCCTTCCAACCTCTGTCGCCAGACAACGGTCTTTCTGACCATCGTCACCTGTCAACTATGGTCCTTCTGACCTCTATCACCAGGCAATAGTCTTTATGACCAATGTCACCCACATACTACGATCCTTCCGACCTTAGTCACCAGACAATAGTCTTTCTGACTTTTATCATCCATCGACTATGATCCTTCCAACCTCCATTGTCAGACTACAATCCTTTCGACCTTCGTAGCCCGCCGATTATGATACTTTCAACCACCGTCACTCGATTATGCTCTTTCCGACCTCCGTTGACCGTCGACTATGGCCCTGCCAGCCTAACAAAATTGTCATTTCTAATTCTTCAAATTCTCACAATGTAATTGATTTTATATGATGTATATTTGCTACATTAAGTAAAGGCTTCCACCCCCCCCCCCCCCCCCCCCAATGAAGGGCCTCATTTGTAACTGAATAAAAATACTAATGGATTCATTCAAACTGGGTTAGGCCTTGTGATTTTTCCACCTTTTCAAGGGTTTCCAAGTAAAAACTTTGGTGTTTCTTATGAACGCTACAACCTTTCTTTTATTTGATTGCATGTTGCATCTTCTTATGAAACTAAGACATTAAACTTTATATTTATTTATCGTCATGAATATTTTAGAAAGCAACAATTTGTCGCAATTTGTGGGAACATTATTCCTGACAAGGGGATAATTTTTTCTTCAACCTTAAAATGTTGTTGATATTAATGTCCCAACATCAACAATTGGTGCATCAATTTCATGGGAATCAGTTAGTGATAAAGAGAAAGTGCAGCAACGGTAGAGCAGAAGTCTGACAGCGGTTGATGGCGAGGTGCTGCTTCGACAACAATAGTTGAAGGTTCGCCGGTGGTGCTGCTGGAGCTCTTAAAGCCTCATAGCTCTCTCCAATCCATAGCCAAAGACCCCCCTTCATGTAGGGAGTGAAGGTTTATTTATAAATTTTTATGAGTTTTATGCCCCGTAAAAATGGAGAAGATCTAGGGCTGATTTGGAGTGCTCCATCAGATGGCCCATATTGATCCCCCCGATCATAGTGTGTTTTTTAAGTGTTAAAGTACATTAATGATGATGTAATTCAATGATCTCGGGCTCGTTGGATTCGTCTCACCGAGTTGCTCGATTTAACTATAAGCATGTCATATTTGGATATCATTTGGTTATCCAATTTAGGCTTTGAAGCTTCCAAATAAGCTTATGGCCATCGATTTAGACTCAATTGGGCTCGATTAAACCTATTTTGGTGTCGTTCGTTTCGTCTCATTGAGACATTCTATTTGACTATAAGTTTTAGATGGTGCCGAATTTAATTTTGAAAGTTTCAACTTGAATATGCCTTGAGATTCGTGCTCGATCAAGATGATTTGTTGTGACGTATCAATACTATAACATGACAATTTCAGGACTGCATTGCTAGTTCTATTGATACTTCGTTGGAGCTAAAGACGAGGGTAAATGAAAATTTTAGGTGTTGCATACTTGAATAAACCAATGATAGTGATTATTTATTTTTGTATTTGCAAGATGAAGCAATGTAGATAGACGCAAATAAATCATGTGATTTCTTAAATAGTTTTCGTTGGATATACAGAGCAGAAGTTCTTTGAGCACGATCATCATGTGGTCGACCTACACTTTCTTCAAATGCATTGTCATAACTTACAACGTGAAAGAGAAGGCGGTCATTTAGATGATGTTCAAAAGACACCACTAGACCTTTAACATGTTATTTTTTAACATCCATGGATTTTAGATGAGGAAAAAGTAGTACCATATAGTCTTTGGCTTTGTTTGGGACGACTTTCTTTCTGCTTCTTAAAGCAGCTTTTTAATACAAAATTTTTAATTTTTGTACTAGAAAGCTGCTTTATGAAGCATTAAGAAAGTCGTCCCTAACGAAGCTTTCATTAAATTGCTTATACTATATTTTGTTATGCTATTTATGATGGTAATAATTTTTTACGAAGTTAAGTTTGGTGTATGTTTATTGTAAATTTTGGTCATGAATTTTTTTTCTATAATCTAGTTATATTAATTTTTTTACGTTTAATTTTGTTATCTCAATTATGTTTAATTATTTATTGTATATATATTCCATCAGGGCTACTCCTACAGGTTAATTATTTATTTTTATAAATTAATAAATGCATATATTAGTATTTATTATGATTAAATTGTTGGAAATTTTACACTGAAGAAAATATAAATTTGGATTTTCTCCTCTAACAAATTTTAAACACATAAAACTATACTAATATGTTAATAGAATATACAGCTCGATGTCTCCTCCGGGAAAACCTCTGTAAATGTGAGTTATGATGATGCCCAAAATCCCGTCTATGTTATAGCCTTGATCTAGCTATTGATCGTCTTAGGCCTCGTTTGTGACAGCTTTCTTTCTGAAAGCTGTTTTACGAAGCAGGTAGAAAGCCGTCTCAAATAAAACTTTATTAATTTTCATAAATTTTAGCCTAAAATGCTCTAGTCATACAAACAGGGCAACCAGATCTGCACTCATGGTCGATCGACGCAGAATTTGCGAGCAATTGCACCAGTGCAGGGCCCTGGTTGTTCATCATGGCATACGGACTGCGCCAATGGATTTGGTGATTTCCTCGTCATGAAGGAAAAATTATTTGGACAGCGTCCGTAGACCAATTAGAACGTGCATAATCACTTTTTTGCTCGATACAGCTGTGTAACGGGTGACGTGCATGATCTGATTGGTCTCCGGATCGTCCGATGTACACAGAATAAATTTCTCATCATGAAGATTGTGCCAAAACATCCAACGTTTTCCTAGGGAGTGTGTGAGAACTGTGCCATATAGAACGGATTTTTCAATTCTACCAAAAAAACTTTCCGCTATTTCGCATCCTCACTCTTTTCTAAATTTAGGCTTCGTTTGGGACGGCTTTTTTACTGCTTTCTAAAACTTAGAAAGGAGTTTTAGTACAAAATTTTTTATTTTTGTACTAGAACTCCGTTTTAGAAAGCAATAAAAAGCCGTCCCAAACGAAACCTTAATGTCAATTGCACAACTGCCAAGAATTCAATATTCTTATACAGTTATACTATGCATTTTAAAATTTTCTCTAAATTAAAATTGTGCATGCAGCACGCTGGTTGAGCGAAGCTTTTCAATTTTCTCTCATGCGGCTCAGGTTCATATCCCCTCATAATCCCAAAAAAAAAAAAAATCTCTAAATTTTATGACTATCTTAAATGAGTCGCCCATGTAAAACTCATTGAGCATAATACGAACTGAGTAAAGCCGAAGATAAATCAAATTTGACCGGACAAAGCTAGAATAGCTCAATTCGTCCGGACACCAATTCAGACGCAACACATCAGTAAAATACATTTGAGTGATGTGACAGTTAGAATTGATTGTGCGGACGTCAGGTTACGGGATGCAATAATTGGCCTCGCCGTTGCAGCCCTATCCGCAATTCTAAATGGTCAATACCCGAAAAAGCTTGCCTTTTTGGTCGAAAAAGCTTTTCAAAATCATGGAAAGGTTAGGCAGCGATGAGCTCGCGGAGGTGCTAAAGAGAGTTTCTGATTTGCAAGACCGCAAGGCTTGGTCTGAGGTATGCTGGCAATGGTCGAGAGTGGAGGGTTCCATCCGTTCTTCGCTGCGTCTTCTGGAACCCGAATCACTCCCTAATCTGTTACGAAGGTTCCCTAGTTTGACAACCTTGAAGATTGGCACCAGAATTTCTGACAGCATCCTCGCTGTCGCCGCCGAGATATGCCCTAATCTCCAAACCCTTAACCTAAACTTCCATAGAAGCCGATGTTTCTCAGATGCATTCGGAATTTCTGGATTTGATTTTGAAGATATTACTGATGATGGGTTATGCAGCATATTGTTTGCTTGTAAGGAATTGATTAACTTTTCGATGAGGAGGAGGAAACGAATTGGGGATGTTGGGATCACTGCTCTTGTATCACATGCCAAAAATTTAGTCTTTCTTGATTTGTCGCGGTGCAGTAGGATTAGTGATAATGCTCTGGAAGCCATTGGTTCACTGAGTTTCTTGACGGCATTATATCTTTGTGGATGTTATTTGATCACTGATCATGGGTTGACTTCTTTGGCCCATGGATCATCATCCAAGACTTTGAGGATTCTCGATGTTTCAGAGTGTGATCAGATTACAGACTATGGGATCTCTTCCTTGCAGCATATTTCCTATTTGCAGGAACTGAAGCTAGCAGATTGTGGCCCCAAAGTCACTGATTGTGGAGGTGCTTGTATTGCTGCTATGCCTGGCTTGAGGAAGTTGGACCTTTCATGGCTGATCAATCTTTCAGATTCTTCACTCATTGCTATAGCTCAGAACTGTCAGAATCTTGTGGAGATTAGATTGATAGGCTGTGAGCAGATAACTGGTAATGGGATTCGTTCCTTCTCAGGCCACCAGTCATTGGAGGACCTTGTATTGGATTCTTTTTACAATGTTTCTGTTAATGATATTGTGCACGTAGTGTTGGGTTGTTTGCCTTTGAGTCATTTGAGGTTGCATAGAGCTTTCAAGTGCTGGATGCCAAGTTCAACGCAAGAGCAGCTTAGCAAGTTGTGTAAGATAAGCTGGATATGAACAAATGAAATGCGAGCATTGGGCTCTTACTTTTTCCCGAGCTGAATTTAATAATTCATTTGTTCAGGTGAGCTCTTCTTTCTTGCCTTATTATTAGTAGGTATAATGTTTCCTGCCATTATTTACCCAACAAAAAAAGAAAAGCTATTTTGCTGTTGCGATCACTTCCATCTTTTGTATCAATCCTTGAACAAGAGATATCAATATCAAGTTGACTAAATATAGACTTATCTGTGCCTGGGAAAACGCAGATTATCTTTGAGGAAGGAAGTAGCCATTCAATGCGAAGTGGAATGCTGCGAAATTGAAGTAACTAAGAACTTGATGTGAGAAGGGAGGCATTTGTTTATGTTATTTTTATATGAAAATTTGGTTACATAATTGTGATGCTATTTTCTGCATCAAATCATTAAAATATATAGTTTCCTCATACATTCAGCACATGAATATAAGTGGTGAAAGAAAAGCGTGATGTTATGTACTTGAAGGAGCCTACATGATGCTTTACAACATATTGATTTTTTTTTTTGGTACCAATTATTATGATTGCACACTATGCAAGTTTCTTAGGTTATTTGAGAGGCTTCCATCAAATTTTTCATTGTATTTAATTATGTTAAGTAGTTAATGTATATGCATTTGGACTATATGAACATAGAAGAAGGAAAGATATAATCTTGCATGAGGCAACTTAGGGATACATTAGGAAGTTGGAATTACAAATCTTAAATATTTTAAGTAAAAGTGTGTTTATTCATCATCAATGCTAGAGATTGAGGAGTATTATAAAGATTTTTTTTTTTTTTTTAATTTATCTAATACTTGAAGAAAATGTACTTATGAAGCAAGCACATGTAGTATTAGGAAAGAATATGAATATAGAAATGTTAGAAATTGGTCTGGTTTTAGATTAGGCTGATCCGCAAGACATCTCACCAAATGTAAATCCCTATAAATACAGGCTATAGGTTGATGTATTGGAGGATCTCCATGATGAATAAATAAAGCTCATGTTCTCCCTTCCCTCTGCTCTCCCCCTTCTCTCTCAATCCAAGAAGAGCAAGAAGCTCTCCTCCTCAAGTTTTTTCTTAACAAGTAGTATCGGAGCCTCGTTGAGGCGATCATGGAGGAAGAAGGATCTTGTTTTGGCTGTCGCGGGTTAGTTCGCTTTAGGCGGATCAGAAAACACAATTGGTCATTCTTTAATGAGGATCGAAGGTTGAAGGGGATGTTCGGTCACGGGATAGACAGAGGAGCAGAAACACGCTATCGGGGCGCGGTTTGTTCGAGCAAGTCGGAGTCACTCGTGGAAGACGAACCGGTTTGGCCGAGTGTGCAGAGGCGTAATGGAGCATCGTGTGAGAGGCAATGGACCTAGAAGTTGGGTCGATGCTAGAGGGGGCTATGCAAATGCAGAGAGTTTGCAAATTTTGAACCAGTGCGGAAGGGCGGACTTGTGCTTGTGGAGCAAGTTGAGCGCGCGAGCGTAGACAAGCGACGTGTGTGGGGCACGGGAGGATGCATTCTGGGCTCGAAAGCAGGCCGCGTGAGCGGAAGATTAGGGTCGGGCCGTAGGCAGCTGGGTTGGGCTGGCGCATGGGCGCTAGCTATTTATGTGGGTTGTGCAAAGATGGGAGCTGAACAGGCACGGAGGGTCTGACATGCAGTTTCAATTGGGTTAAAAAAAGGGAGCAGGTAGGCCGGACAGGCCGGTCGTGCGCGAGATCGGGATGTATGGTCGGATGGTGTTTGGTCGAAGTGGATCGGACCGGTAGACCAGAGCGACTTTGTTCGCGTGGAGAGGCAGACTATATTTAGGATATTGTTCTTGATTAAACATATGTTTAGAACTTTTGATGTGGAGCCTCCGGGCAAAATATATGATTTGGTGTGTCGAAGCAGCAGAGACAAAAAACAACAAGATCATGAGCGTCGAAGCGCGCACGGGTGCCCGGGGAAGTCGGGTGAGCCGAAGGATGCTCGATGCTGGAGCGCGCGTGTGCCACGCGTGAGCAGGCGATGCACAAGGCACAAGGGTGCAAATCATGGGATGAACAACAATGGGCATAGGTGTGTGTGATTTAGAACGTGCGAGAGTACGAGCTGGAGTTGTGGATTAGAATGCACAGTGGAGGTTGAACGTGAGCGGTATTGGGTTCGGTTCAGCAGATTTTGGTTCAGCGGATTTGCTCGTAGAGTTAGTGCATGGAGCTGGTTAGATTGTAGCAGGCGCACAGGTGGTTCTTCGATTGTAAAATCGGACTAATGTGGAGATTGCTAGAAATTGGTTTGGTTTTTTATTAGGTTGATCCGCAAGACATCTCACCAAATATAAATCCCTATAAATATAGGCTATAGATTGATGTATTGGACGAGCTCCATTATGAATAAATAAAGCTCCTGTTCTCCCTTCCCTCTGCTCTTGCCCCTCTCTCCCAAGAAGCTTAGTCTGAGCTTCTTCTTCCTCCCAAAAATATAACAAGAAAAAATTATATGTATAGACATTTCATTATAAACATTGGCAAAATATAGTTAACACCTTATGCAGTAGTCATTAAAAATGAATGGATAATAAAAATTCATAAAGCAGATCATATGTAGTTGGGATAAAGTTTCTGATGTTGATGATGAATATCTGATTATCAAATAACTTATAATAACAAAAGAAAAATTTATTATTTTTTCTTTGTGAGTATAACATTTTTTTCATAAGCTGGAGAGCGATGCTTAATTTGATAAATTGGATCACATAAGGAAAACACTTTGATATTGTGAGCAACCCCCATTATACCTTTTTTCTGAGTACACCATATGTCCACCACAACAAAAATATAGTCATGGCCACCACGGGTCATGGGTATGCGTCAAATGAAGTCTATAAAAATACTCTCCCATGATCTAGTTAGCACTTTTGGTGGAGTGAGTAATCCTTTCTCCCATTTGAAGGATTTGATGTGCAACAAAGCATACATTCTCTTTGAAATTTGATTGCGCTTAGATGCATTCTTGGCCAATACACTATTAGCTGTAATTTGAGAAGTGAATTCGTCACTTCAAAGTGTTTGACTACCTTAGAAGTGTGTGCTTATGCTATACATTTCACCTAATCATAACTTTTATGTACATAGAGTAGTTTTTCTTCGTAGAGAAGTCTCCTTTAATGGTTTAATAGTCTTCTCGGGATCCCTCCCATAATGTCTCGAAAGTCCTTGTTAAGCTTGTAGAAGTCAACGTGCTCCTTATGATGAGACTCGTTACATCATTGTTATTAGAGTCATCGATGGTCATGAAAGCATGTCAATCATCTTATTTCACTCCATTATTTTATTTAATGATTGTTGAATTATTGCAAATACATTATTCACTTCATATGCTATGCTTGTTGGAGCTTTGATTATGTTTGTAGGTGTTGAAGTAGCTTATGGATGGTGTGAACCACTATTTCTTTTTCAAGTAGATAAGGCTTCCAATGCTTCAAAGTTGGTGAAGCGTGAGAAGTTTCTTCTCATGAAACTTTATTAGGCATGCTTGTGGTGGAAGCCAATTTTTAATCGCTTATATCTTCTCAGGGTCGATCTTTATGTTACCAACATCAAAGTCTAAATAAAGTAGGTCCTTCCCAAAATTACACTTAATTAAATTCAAGAAAAGTTGGTTTTTCTTCAAGCAATTTAACACTTCGTAGATTTTTGAAATGTTCCTCCCCCTCCCATATTTGGTTGTAGATGAATATGTTGTCAAGGTAAACCATGGATGATCTCAGAATATCATTCATGAGACTTATAAATGTTACTGACACATTACAAAGATTGAATGTTATCATCTACTCATGAAATCCATATTTGATTTTGAATGTTGTCTTCCATATATCCTATTCATGTACTCAAACTCACTGGTAGCTCAATTTTAGGTTCAACTTAGTTAATATTGTTTTATGCTTTAGTTGTCTAATAAGTCATCCATTATGATAAGTTAATATTTATTTTTCATTGTTATTTAAATCTATACTACCCGGTTGTACACGAATATTCACATTAGTGAACCATTTATTATATGATCCCTTCATTCTCCACAATTATGTTACAGTATATCTCATTGTTGGGTTGAGTAGAATTCAGAAGTAGATGAATATAATGCTCAATGACTCATCACAAAGACAATCCTCTCAGCTTTTAGAAAATTTATTTGTATTCTTTTATGAATTGTTGTAATCTCAGCTCATATTCCTTAAGAACTAGGGCCAACACTTATTCCTTATCCTTTTTTTTTAGATTTTTTTTTTAATTCTTTTCAGGCCAATGTTTTTTATCATCGTGCTTCTCCTTTAAGGTAAGATAAGATTAGAGAGAGTCATCTTAGATGGTTTGGTCATATAAAACATCATCCTTCCGATGACCCGGATAGAAAAGTAGAGGTATTAGATTTGACTTATGTTAAGAAAGGTAGAGGTAGACCTAAAAAGACTTCGTTAAATAATATTAGAAATGATATGTCCTTATTAGATTTAAACGGGAATTTGATTTTTAACATGACACAATGGAAAAAAGGGATTCATGTAGCTGACCCTACGTAGTGGGACAATGACTTGATGTTGTTGTTGTTGTTGTTGTTGTATGCTTCTCCGTTAAGGTGAAGAGCATAATGAAGCATTGACACATGTTCATAGTTTTTTTCACTAGTGCATCTAAATGTTGACATATATTGCCCCTAATGATAATATACCTAACTAGTCTCGACAAGATCAAGTTCTTAACTCCCTATCTCAATAATGGTGCTAACTATTTTTTTCTTAACCTGGATTCGCAAGGTGAAAAGCTCCTCATTTTCTATCTAGTCTTTGTATCAAACTCATCTCTTTTCCCTATACTATTGTCATCAAGGAAAGCCTCGAATTCAGTTAATCTGGCAACCCTAATATTTTATGCTTATTTTTTGTGGTAGCCTCCTCCTTTTTGGCATCTTTTTTGAGCTTCTCTGGGAAGAGTTTCGGATGAAGCTTCCAGTGCTTCTCTTTATCATGTTTTAGACTTTATAATGATTATAAGAGGTTATTTTTAGAAGAAGAGAATGTTGTAGAGTTACTTTTAGTAGAGCCTTTCCATTTACACTTTTGCTTTCAACATTCTTTAAATCAATCCCCTCCATTCTTGTCACTAAAAAGCTTGCTCCTTCAAGGTTAGTTCTTTTTTTTTTTTTAAAGCTATGGAAAACCTGCTTTCCTCCATTCTTGTAAAAAGAATATAATGGAAAGCCTTGACTGGAGAAACTCCAACAGAGTTAGTCATTCAATACACATTGATAATTATGTTTTGGTTGTGATCGACCTCAACTCTATTGGTCGTCTTTGAATGCTGATAAATTTGTAATTTATGGTTCGTTTGGGATGACTTTTTGTTGCTTCTTAAAGCAGTTTTCTATTATAAAATTTTTAATTTTTGTCCTAAAAAGCTGCTTTAAGAAGCAACAAGAAAACCGTCCCAAATAAAGCCTTAATATTATGTCATCACATAAC